GCGACAATGCTTCAAAATTAGGAAGGGAAGCAGTGATTATTTGATTATATAGACGCTTCGCCTCTGGGTCATACCATGAGCGTGCAAGACATATTAAGCACGTTTCGTTTGTTAGGAATTAATTTTGAATGTTGCCTGGGTAGCGGCCGAAGCCTACTCTTTATCGATTTGAGGACCACTGGTGAAATCTTAATGTGCGCAACTTGCACACGGGACCGCCGAGATTTTTGCGCCCCAATCCGAGAAAGCTGGGTGTTTAATCTTACCTACCCTAACATTAGGAATGTGGCTGAAAGGCAGCAGTACGAAGGAGCGATTGAGTAGCTGTAGAAAGGCAGCAGAAAGAATCGGGAGCCCAAAGGAGGGGGAAAATGGGGGGGGGGGGCAGAAAGTGAAGACGACCCGCAGACGACAGAACTTGATTAGAGAGCAGGAAAGGAGGTGAAAGAAGGACAATCCTATTATAAAGAAGAACATTTTCCGTCACAGTCAGGATTCGAACCCGGGGCCTATTGAATAAGAAGAGGCCAACACCATAACCTGTAGACCACGAGCGCCTTCTAAATACTTCTTTTTGTGATCTTCGAAATCCAGGAAGAAAAAAAAAAGTCATCCGTGACGTATTTTGATAACTTTGATACGCCGGTTCCGATTTTGATATTACTTTTACCTTTAGACGCAGTTTTCAAAAAGTTTACAAACGAGAATTGTATCACCAGCGGGCGGCAGACAGTCCCATGGCCGGATGCACAAATTCAGGCTATTTGTTTGTTGGTTGTTGTTTTTGTTTTTTTTGGGGGGGGTTGTTGTTGTTGTTGTTGTTTTAGTAAGATGTTATGGCACTAGCAACTAGCAACAGCATAAGGTCATCGCCAAGGGATGGATGTCAACAGAGAGGTCCTTACAGGGAACCAGGCTTACTCTGCTCACTCTAGCCTCAACAGCACAAAATCTGCTTCGACTATAAAGGCACCCTGGAAATAGCAGTTCACAAGAGGGTGATAAATATACAAAAGAAGTAGAGGAAACTTGACGATAGCAAGGATGAGGAAAGAAAAGCAGCTATTCCTGATTTTTGTTGCAGCCAACGTCTGTCACGTCTGCAGTCTGTCTCGTCTGCGGCCCGCCGACGACACAGTTTTCATTTCTGAACATATTTTTATAATCAAGATAGCACCATGTATTATTTTCTTATCACACAAAGGACGGACAACTGTCAGTTTTATCTGAACGTGTAATAGGCCTACGTGAACAACCTTTAGGCCCCTTTCTCACTAATCCAAGTTCCATAAATCCTCTTTGAAATGGTCACTGATATATTCCATACGATGCTTGTAAACTGAAGCATCGCGTCATAAAATCGGTTCGTTCTTTTAATAAATCACTCTGTATTTCGAAGAACACGTAAAACAAGCATTTTTATCATGACTGCATCAAGTGCGTTTCGTCAATGTGTTGTCAGTGGTCGCACTTGTCATTTCATTTTGTTTTATTTTTTCTCGGAGCGTGTGCTAGCAAAATGATCGGCCGCAGGCCGGCCGGCTAGAGACAGAACTTTGTTTCAATTATACGAGTGATACCCTAACCCTATTTACAGGAACTGGAAACAGTATAACAATAATCATATTGGTCGTCGTTATACTAGATTTATACTTCTATTCAAATTCAAGTCTTTTTCCTCAGTTGTAATTTTGAAAGAGTTGCTATGCATTTGAGGGGAATAAACCGCTTGTACCAGTGTCTGTGGTGTGGCGGTTAGGCTCTTTGCCGTCGGACGCAGAGTTCAAATCTCATGCGGGGAGGATTGAAATCATGAGTCTTGATCTTTCTGCTAGGACGTACTATCCGTTCCGACGGAGATCGGCCCTGACAAGCAGAGTTGACGCCCGTATTTTAGATAATAAAACTGTGTCGACGGGGAAGAAAAAAACTATACCGGGTAGACAAGTAGTCTAATTCAGTTTGCATCTTTAAAAGAGATCATTTGTCAGGTTGTTATCTTTATCTTTGTTCCCTAATAATTGCCAATAAGCCTATGTGGTTTTCAAAAGATGGTCCCAAATGTTGGTTGAATCGAGAACGTGGAGTGTAGATATATATCTGTGACAATATTTTAGTAATACCATTTGTGTCCTGGGTAAGCATTTTTTAAAATCAAATAAACCACGAGATGAGAACGTCATTTATTCTGAAATCCCCTTTGTACAAAGACAAGTGTTCTCAGTTGAGAGACCATGCCTTCAAGAATTCTCGGGTCATGTTAACAAAGACTTAAGGCGGCTCTCGTGATCGAGAGGTTACGGTGCTCGCCTCTCATTCAATAGGTCCCTGGTTCGAATCCAGACCGCGACGGTAAAATGTTCTCCTTTCACCTCCTCTCTTACTCAGTCTAACAATGTTCTGTAGTCTGCTTTCGTCTCCACTTTCTGCCCCCATCCCCTCACCTCCTTTGCCCCCTCTTCTGGGATGCTGGCTCTTTCTGCAGCCTTTCTACTACTACTCCTTGGCTCTGTCTACCTGCCGTCTTTCAGCCACACCCCTGATCTTATGGTAGGAAAGATATAACACCTAGCCTTCTGGGATAAGGGCAAACAATCTCAGAGGTCCCGTGCACAAGTTGCGCACGTGAAAGATCCCTTGTTGGTCCAAAATCGAAAATAGTAGACTTAGGTCGCCACACTGGCAAAATTCAAAATTTCCTACCAATTGAAAACGTTTAATGTATCCCGCGCGTTATGATGACCTTGTGTATTTGCGAGCTCTAGGTATTTCAGCTAGGATGCAACCCTCTCAATCTCAACCCGGGTTGGCCTTGACAGGCAGGGCCGAAGGCCCACCTCCTAAATGATCTAAATTGTATTGATGGGGGCGTAAAAAAACACACCTAAACACCTACATTTGAGAAAGGAAACATTAACAAACATGGTAGAATTTTGCCCCCTTCGGCCCAGTGAAAAGGTATATGAGTATCAGCAAGTTTGCTTCAGGTGTTTCACAACCTCAACCCAAGTTACTATCAGTCTCAGACTTTGGTCTGGGGAATCTTGTGGCCTACAGGTTAAGGTGTTCGCCTCTCATTCAAAGGCCCCGTGTTCGAATCCGGGTAGCAATGGAAAAATTTTCTTCTCTAAAATTCTCTCCTTTCACCTCCTTTCCTGCTCCCTAGCAATGTTCTGTCGTCTGCTTTTGTCTCCACTTTCTTCCCCCACCCCCTCACCTCCTTTGCCCCCTCCACTGGGCTTCTGACTCTTTCTGCAGTCTTTCTGCTGCTACTCCTTGGCCAAAGCTGTCTTTCAGCCACAAGCCCTGATCTTCTGGTAGGAAAGATCTACACTTAACCTTCTCGGACAAGGGTGAAAAATCTCGGAGGCCGGTGTGAAAGCTGCGCACGTTAAAGATCCCTTGGCGATCTACAATCGATAAGAGTAGGCTTCGGCCGCCACCCGCGCAAAATTCAAAATTTCCTAAGAGACAAAATGTTTAATGTGTCCCATGCGCTCATATGACCTTATGCAGTTGCGAGCGCTGTAAAAAAACTTACCAAAAAACCAAACAAAAGTTTGGTTGCGTAGAGAGAAGGAAAAGAAGCATATCAAGAAAAAGAGAAAAATCTAAAGAAAGGTTAAACAACTGTATTAGTGACATAATATGTTTTATTTCGTTGACTTCAATGTACAAAAAATGAGTTGGTACATGACTGATATATGAAATAGGGATGATTGACTTTTCATATGTACAATGTACAGTTACAATATTTTAGCCACAACTCCAGGAAAACACATAGCATAGCCTTCTCAATAAAACAATATACTGACAGGCACAGATAACTCCAACACGTCAAGGATTGACAATATGTCTTTGACACACACCCATAATTCCTGTTCACCGATAATAAATTTTTAAAAAAAGAGATATATCAGTTGGGGAATGGCAAAGTGAATGAGATATCCGTGAATTTTTGTGTCCATTTGGCTGCAAAATTTGGTGGGGAAAAACTTCCACTCACATCCACTTTGTGATAAAGCACAATCCTGCCGTAAGCTGACAAAATAACGTTTTTCACTTTGGTGCCATTTTTTTACCTTTGCTAAATCGAAAGCCCGATCAGTTACTTTACTTGAGTGCAAAAATCAAAGTGAAATTGTGACTAGTTTTTTTTAATGAAATGGAATTAAAATTTCGGAATCACTCTTATTTTTAAATGGTTATGCTGACAAAAAAAAACCTCCTTTTCTCGAAACTACTGTGGAGACAAAAAGGCATTTTGTCAGCTTACAGCAGAAAAAGAAACAGGAAATTTAAAAACTTTTTAGAAAATAAAATATAGGG